CATGGATACAGTGCATGTTAAATCAGGGGGTTGTAACTAAAATGGTTGAGAACCCCTCATTTAAACGACCATCTAATGTTGTCTGGCATTCAAGGGATTAATTATTTTGCTCAATCTTCTAAAGGGGTTTTAATCAGTTCCTTCCTCAAGTACACAGTGATTTAAAGGCATTAAATCAGAGAGTTTGTAATTCAGTTTCAAGTTTAATTACATGGTTTATTGGCTTATCTCTTTCCACTAAATAATGTGGAATGATTCAAGATAGGTAATACTGTACACTTGACCACATAATGGAAAAAAAAAGAAAAGATAATGCCAATATTAAAATACAATGACTAATATTCTTAATGAAACCCTAAGACTTGTCAGAAACAGAATGAAATCCATCCACACATCGTCTAGTTTAGTCAGCTTGGAGTGACCTTGAGCCTGCAGCCGATCGTCTTCCTCCTAAAACAGATGAGTCACTTTAAGACTCGCAAAGATCTTCTGCCAAAGTTTTTTTTTTTGCTACTTTGACAACAGTTTCAGGCTAAAAGCAGATGTGGATGAGTTTTTGTTTCTTTTGAAGCTCTGACCTGGCCTTCAAACTTCCTCACTGTCACAGTCTGCGGGAGCTGGCAGCTCGCTGTGGGAGAAAAACTCCCTCGTACTCCACGCTGCTCCTCATCCTGCCGCCACTAATGGCTCACATAGAGCCGTCTGAAACTAGAAAAGCTGGTAAATGTTACTCAGAGACTTAGGTTTTCCATTTTCTTCCTCCCCTAACCTTTTACAGAAGAGGAACCATTAAGTGGGAGGAAAAGGGATCAAATGTAATACAGGAACAGCTTCAAGAGATGTAAAACCTTAAAGTCAAATTTAATGTCTTCTGATCTGTCAAGCTAAATCACTTCAAAGTGACAGGATTTTACTTTTAGATTTACATTATCTTCTCTCAAACCATGTGGTGCAATCAAAATCAGCTCTCCAAATATACTTTGGTTTATAAAGCTTCACATCCAAACCAAATCTCATACATCCAAGTCGTAAAAAAGTGAATTCTGTTGTCCTCCCGCCCATTAACCAGATTCCACAAAAGCTCAAGGTTTTCCCATCCTGAAAACTTCCCTGCCTCCTTAAAATCCCGACGGAAGAGGATGTGGAGCAGCTCTTGCCTTTCTATATACAGTAATGATCTGAGAGTGGACATGTGGGAGGAGAAAAGCTAAAACAAAAAAGCACATTATATGTTAAGAAGAAAAAAAAGATTCTAGTATCAAAAACTCCAGTAATCCTTAAGGGCGCATCATTTTTAACTGTCATTTTTAGCAAATCTAAAAAAACTCCAAGCCCTGATGATGTGTTTATTTGTTGGAAAAGAATGAACACTACTTAGTATACAAACTGAGTTTTATTGGTCTATTCTAATAATTTGGTTTTCTGACGTTCAGTCAAGCAGTAACATTTGGAATAAAATAAAAACCTTAACTAAATTCATAAATTGGCTAAAATATTTAGTGTTCCAGATGTTTTCTCTGTCAATTACTGGAAATCTCTAACTAAACGGCTCCAGTTAACTGACATTTATTTATTTTTTTATAAAATCAAAATCTAAAAAGTTATAGTTATTTAAAAAAAAAACATTTTTTATTATCCTACCAACAAGTATGAAAAAAAAAGAAAAAAAAAATTTTTTTAGAGGAAGATTTCCTTTTACCTGAACGGATTTACCGCTTGATGCCACTGTTCCTCCTCACTAAATGGCAGCAGGTACACTGACGCAGATCGCTCAGCCTTTTTATTACTGCTTTATTGAGCCGACTGTCTACATTTTCTTATACGCTGGTCTGAGTTCCTTCCCCTCCAAATAAATCACAAGCACAGGCTGCATGGCATTATAAAGACATAAAACAAATCATGTGAGGCAAACCTTTAAAGCATAAATGCATTACACAGACCTTTAGTCATCAAATCATCACATTCATTATAATCACAGGTTGCTGCTATCTGGGGATTTGATTATATGAAAACGGGCTTTTATGATTTCTCTGAAGAAATGTATTACCAGAATTTTGTCAAAACATGCAAGAAGTGTAATTCAATGTTATAGTTAATTCACTGAGACTAAAGCTAATTAATGTAATTATCAAAAACTTAGTACTCATTAGCCGTATTGGTTAAAAGACTACCTACAATATTTTTTCATATATAAAAAGTTATGCCCCCAATTAAGATTTTCGATATAAAGATATATTTGTATGCAATTATTCTCTAGGTTAACTATTCTAAGGTTATTTTTTAAGGCTCAAACTGCCAAATACTTAAACTTAAGACTTTTTTTTAAGGATCAAAAGAAGCTGAATGTTTTGAATCTACTTAAATTAACTTTAAAACTATAAAAGTAAGAAGAGAATTACTCAGCTGGTCAGATACATCCAACTAGGCTAAAGACCCAGAGGTTAAAAGGTTCATTTGTCCTTTTTACTTTCACTCATACTAATATTTCAACCAGATTTTTTTCAAATGGAAACTTTAGAAGCCTGTAATTTTGTCCTGGTGGAGTTTTTTTTGTTTGTTCTCAATTTGTTTTTTGAATAATTTTCATAATTCCTCTGGCTCACAATAACCTGGGAATAATAGTCTCTGTAAAGCACCTGATAAATATTTATCATGCTATTAGAGGTCCAAGATTTTTCTATTGTTTATTTGCATCTTAATTCAATGGGAATGAAGAAGTTTGAGGTGGGGGTGTAAGAAAAATTCCCTGAAACATAACCATGTCTGCAGTTGGCTAAGTTTCCTCACGTAGACAACTTTTCACAAATCCGTACAAAAGAAATAAACCAACGAACCATCCAAAAATTGGAATGTGTGTAATTAATTTTGAGTTAGCCTTCATGAAGGGGTTATATTTCTGTTTATTTTGTAAAGTAGGAAGCGAAGAAGTCGTCTGTTAACAGCCGCTGTGAAAATAAATCAAATCAGAATAAAAAATTTAACAAAAAGACAGTCTAAGTCAAACTTATCTCAACCTCAAATTACAGTTCAGTTGAGCTTTTTTGGCCTTTCGGTTGATTTGTTACAAGAATATAGAAGGCAGGGAAATAAATTGGGATTCCTTATGGGGGAAGAAAACTTTATTATGCAATATTTTCCCTGAATAATCAAATATCTTTTACAAAACAGACCCAAAAAATATAGCTTATTGCAAAAAAAAAAAAAAAACACAGGAGTGAAATGATAGAGGTAGTTTGAATGGAAAAGGGCATATCAGGTGAGACAAAGAGGATTTGAAGTATTGTTTATGCTCTCCTTTCCATAACCATCACTGTTCACAATATTCTGCTTCTTAAAATATTTATCTGAATCCAAACTGAGCTCTCCAAGCCCACATTTTACTATTACCAGGTGTTTGATTCACAGGAACAGATGTCTGGCAGCCTGTAGCACCACAGGACTTTCACCATGGATGTTAAAGTAACATAAAGAGACTTTATCTACCGTGAAAATATGTGGTTTAGGTAAGTGCAGGCCTGTGGCCCCAGAGGAGCTTTACATCTTGTAAAAGGCCCGGTCTGAAAAACAGCTCTGGTATCAAGCGAACCAAAGACTTAGGAAATACTTTACTTCTGACTTTATATTCAGAATATCTGTTATTATCATATAATAATAGATTACAGCAAAAATATTCACATAGATATATGAAAAGATGAACTAACAAACATACATCAAATCATATCATTAAAATCATAAGTATTCATCATTAGCAAATACATAAATAGTAATATATATCTTTCACAATAAAAAGTGTCAGTTCATATAGAGTTGTCAAAGTAGCATCAAACTGAGAAATAAAGAGAAAGTGGAAGGCACCATATAGAAACCATTTTAGAAAATATGTGCCCGTTTGTTGAGTCACTGATTTATGGAAGAGGATTAGGGCCACTGAAAAAATTAAAAAAGTTAACTGATATTTACATTTTATTTCAGTTTAATATGGGAAAAAACTCAGAATTCTGAGATTAAAATCAGAATTCTGAGATTAAAGTCAGAGTTCTGAGATTAAAGTCAGAGTTCTGACAAAAACGTCTGAATTCTGACAAAAACGTCT